ATATATATAAATACAACTTGCAGTCACAATACAGCAACAAAAGAACAACTGAAAAACATTTACCTGCCATCCATAACAGAATCTTTAACAGATTGAAAATGTTAAGGTTCTCCACAGGCTAAATAGTGCAGAAAGTCAAATAAATCTCAAAACATTGTTTAAATATGAATTCAATTAAATTCAGTTTATTTATATGGCGCCAAGTCACAACAGAAATCATCTCAGGGCACTGAACAGAAACATTCATATAAAAATAATAATTTAACATTATTTATCAGAGGAGCAGAATGCTTTGCGTTTAACTCCATCACAGAACTTTCATCTTGAGCGAGCATGAAGGCGACAGTGCATGAAGAAGGAACCTTTAGCAGAACCAGGCTCAGGACAAGCGGCCATCTGCTTCGACCGGCTGGGTTTGAGAGGAACAAATACACAAAAATCTCACACACCACCGGACATCTGCAGGCTGCAAAGATGATCAGTTTTTGTGATTGACACTGAAAGTCATTGATCAGTATCGGCCAGTCACATACTTTTTAACGGAAACCAGTCGATTATTATCTGTGGCCAATTGATCGGAACGTCTCTAGTCCTGATGCATGTGCAATAATCCAGGGAGATAAGTCTAACAAGGTTGAGTCAAGTCCTCTGGACGGATTCTTCTTTGTTGAAACGTTTCGGCTTTTATCCAAAGGACTTCTTCAGTCTGAGGAGCTGCAACAAACTTGGGCAAACAGAGAAACAAAGCAGCTAATGGCCAAAAGGATGGCCCAGCACAGAAGAGCAGCATCATCAGGCCAGGACTCTGCGGTCTACACTCATCTCCAGGCCAGCGGTCACCCGTTCAGGGATGAAGATGTTCCCATCCTTGATGGAGAGAAACGATGGCTTGAGAGAGGAGTAAAGGAGGCCATCTTTGTGGAGAAAACTCCTCCATCATTAAACAGAGGTGGAGGCCTCCGTTTCCAACTGTTCGCCTCTTGCAACGCTGTTATTGCTAGTATCACTCAGCCCCCTGTGAATAGCAAGCAGCAATCAGGGTTCTAACGATCTGTTATTACGTTGATGGTCCTCCTTTTGCATGTGAACAGCTAGTTTTGGCTGTCACTAGCAGATTGGCTGATCCACTGACAGGGATGTCAATCTCACCTATAACAGGGGACCACAATTAAAACTTGGTTCAAACTAAGGGCCAATTTCAGAAACTATATTAACTCAAGTCAGAAACTCAACATCTTTTCTTGGTCACATGTTCCTCAACAAGCGTTTGATTGGGCTCATTTGATGTCATCTGTTGTGCTTTCCCCATCATAATAAAATAGTACTCAAATAATTCAAGTGATAAAAGCATTTTATGTTTAACATCATCTTGGGGGCAAGAGAAAATGTCAACGATGGCCACATTTGGCCCCCGGGCCTTGACTGTGACACTACGAGAAGGTGTTATGTATAAGATTGAGTTTATTGTTGCGCCTCAGACTGAAGAAGTCTTTTGGATAAAAGACAAAAGGTTTCAACAAAGAAGAACCCGTCCAGAAGCCCTAACTCAACCTTGGTAGATAAATCTTTAATGGGTGTTTCCTGTCCTGACCCCGAGCTGGTAAGAGGAGGTTCAGTGATTATCGCCATGGAAACTGCCGAGCTGAGTGCTGAGGTCATGAGCCCCGTTAGACAGAGCCAGGCCTGGTCTACAGTCTGATGGCCGTGAAAATGTCTTGGAGATGACGCAGTGCAGTCACAGCAAAGACCCAACGTGACAAAACAAACTCTAAATCGCTTCAGCGTGACAGAACATTTATAAAATAACGTTGACTAATAAGATGACAAGATGCATTTAAAGATATTCAAAGCTATGAATAATAAAGTGACTATTAACTAAAGCACTAGAAAAAAAAATTCTCAAAAGATGTAAATAACTGTAAATAAACAACATTGTGTTCTGTCTTGTTTATCTTTTTTTTTACTTAATGAAGATACCACTTCGTGTTTGTCTCCACAGTGGTGTACCTGTGCTGCTCCTGGGATATCTTCAGGAACCTGATGGTCCAGTTTTGGAAGGAGGGGGTGGAGCTGGAGAACTTTGTCTTCTTCTACATTGATCTTTTTGCTGATGGTCTGGGAGGTGAGCGACCCGTCAGGCCCTGGTTCAGAGGAGACCAGGATGACTACGGGGCCCAACTGGCCTTCAGGGTGAGAACTGGTTCTGGCTCTTTCACTTCCTTTTTTTTTTAGATACTTGACTGAACTCATGATCAGCATTAGGATAAACTCCTATTGCCTTGTGTTCTGTTTGAATAAATTTACTCAAATCCAGATTGTTTTGTTTGATTAAAATGTTTTTGATCAGTAACTAAGCCAGTATCTTACTGGTCTGCAACTGCTGGAGACAAGTTGCCGATTACTTGACGAAGGTAATTTGCAAACGAGTCTTCAAAATGTATCAATACATTCACGGGGGGGTTCTCAGTTTCCCTGTGCGAGTTGCAGAGGCTCTCAGTTGTGTCGCTAGAAATTTTGAAAACGTTCCAAAAACACGCAGGACAAAACTTCTCCCAAAATAATAACAATCATTGCAGGCATCTCAAACTCATCTCATCTCTCGTCCGCTGAGTGCAGTGGCTGAACGTTCATTTGGGCAGTACAGTCCCATCTGAAGCTTAACTGAAGTTTATTTTACCTCTTTCAAGGCGGGCAGCTCACGGTGTGCGGCTGGTGAATGTATGGCAATCCATATTGCCATATAATTGGATTTTTTGTTAAGCCATGTTGCCATATAATTGGATTTTTTGTTAAGCCATGTTGCCATATAATTGGATTTTTTGTTAAGCCATGTTGCCATATAATTGGATTTTATGGCAAGTCATGTTACCATATAATTGGATCGCCAGCTGCACGTGTCCGCCCGACAAAAAAAAAAAAAAAAAAAAAGCACAACACCGACCCGGCCTGCCCATCCAGCTCATTATTATGGCCCGGCCCAAATTCAGGTCGGGCCGGGCTTCGGGCCCGAAATGACAGCTCTACTGTGGATTAAATCATGAATGTGGGGAGTAGGATGTAGGTAGAGGTGGACAACAAAATAATATGTTGGCCTAGATTACAGTTTGGTGAGTCTTGCACACACAAAATAATATTGTAACTTTCAAAAACGAGGTCACATGGCTCACTGGTCGCAAACACTCAATTTAGCGATTCTGCAACAAAAAGTTTGCCTATTTTCTTGCAGTTTGCTTGTGTTTTTAAGTCGCTAGCTAGCCTCCAACAGTTGCAGCCCAGTGGGATACTATCTACAGCTCTGCCTCTCTGTGCCTTTCTCAACAGAGTGTAAAGGTGCTGACCTACTTGGAGCCTCAGAATCCAGAGTATTTCCAGTTTGTAGAAACTCTGAAGAACGAAGCAAAGAAATCGTTCAACTTTACTATCAAAGACTCCCTAGTGTGTATAAGTATGCTTTTTGTTGACTGATGCATGAAACAGTTTTAGAATCATTTGATATTCGCAGCAGATAAATCCTGTTAACCTGAAATGTATTTGCGCCTCTGTCAGTACAACCTGATAGCTGCAGGGTTCTACGATGGAGTGATGCTGTACTCTCAGGCTCTGAACGAGACTTTAAGCCAGCAGAGAACAGGGCCGGGACCGGTGAAGAGACCCAGAGGAGATGTGGTGACCAAGAAGATGTGGAACAAAACCTTCCCAGGTGATTCTTCCCTCTTTTTCTCGTGTGCCTGTTCTGGACGCACTTTGCGGTCACGCTGGAAATGTGCAGCCAGTCTTGGACCAATCAGAGCACAGCTCTGGACGAGAACAGTCTGCTCTGAAAATGTGTGCTATTAATCAGGAAACCACAAAGAGCAGAAATATCCATCTCATCATCTGCAGCGCGGTAAAAAAAAAATACAGGAAAAGTCCTGCACTTAGTTTTATCAACAAAACTGACTTTTCACAGTGAATACTCAAACAAGTTTGGCTTATAATTTAATTGTAAAAAGAAACACTTTTTTGCATAACATAAATTTGTTCGGTTTAGGTTTCTTAAATACAACACAAAAAATCTACTACAGTAGTCCCTCGTTACTTCTCGGTTCATTTTTCATGGACTCGCTCTATCGCGGTTTTTCAAAATAAGATTGGACATGATAGACAATTGGCTGATTGATGGACAAGTCGCACGATCGGCATGGATTTTTTAATTTAAAATAAATTATTTAAAATTATTTGGCACCTGCTGCACCTGTGTGCAGCCCACAGCTGCGGGAGAAGCTTCCCCCTGCAGCACGTCATCTCTCTGCTCTGCAGGAGAAGTGGGCGTGGCCAAGAGCGCTGGCAGGTGGCAGAGATCATGACTTGCTGTGCTTTTTAGAGAGTTTAGAGTTTAGAAACATTGTTTAGTAGGGGTGTAACGGTACGCTAAAATCACATTTCGGTTCGGTTCATTTTCATGGAGGGCTAGGTTCGGTTAATTTTCGGCACAAAAAAGGCCAAAATAAAGACTTACAAAATGTTTATTTTGAAAGTATGCCAAGTAAACAATACATTTGTATAAAAATAAATAAAAGCGACCCATTTGGATGATATTTTAAATAAACGGCACTCTTTACAATAAACAAACTATACTAACAATAATAAAAAATCTTATTAAATACAATAACAGTCAGAACCAGAACAATAAGCAGCAACAGACTGTATACAATCTAATTAATCAAGTTTTAAGCTTTTGTCAAAAAAGACCAACTTGTCCACATTTTCTGTCAAAAGCACAGATGTTGCAGTGAATATCTCCAGCGGTGGAGAAAACCCGTTCACTAGCAACAGAGGTAGCAGGAAAAGAGAGAGTGGCTGTATTTGACCTCATTGTCTTTCCACCAAAAAAGAGGGTCAGCTTCAAGGGAGGGGCACCCTGAAGCTCTGTACTCACAACCTCTTCTTGGATCTGCTCCAAAAGGGACTTGTACTTCCCACTGTCCCTGGAAAAGTTCACCAAAGAGTTTAGTCATTACAGACTTTTTAGCTGGAGGTGATCTCTGGTGGATGATTTCCCTGAAGAGGAAGAAGACACAGCTACTATCTCGGTGACATCCTCAGACTGCAAAATAACACAAAGAGGTAAAAAAAAAAAGAGTTAATAAGATTATAATTTTAAAATAAAAAAGTTAATTAGATAATAATAATAAAATAACACTACCTCTTCTTGCACGGTCATCATTTCTCTTATGAGGTGGTTGAATATCCTCTCCCTCAACATCATCACGTGGCAGGGCTTTAAATCTGGGCTCCAGAGCTTGTTGGCAATATCAGTTTTATCTTTTTCATAAAGTGCTGCTTGCTACAACATTTTGGCTGAAGTGTTGACATGATGGGATGTCGTAGGCAGCGGGGCTCAAGAACTTTAACCCTTAAAGCCGGCGCATCGACAACAGAATACGGACGTAGATCCAGAGCTTTAAAAACTCCTACAGCTTGTGTTATTGCTTTGGACCGATCTGAAATACCCGATAAAGGTTGTTTAAACGCTGCTGTTATCGGTCTTTGCACCAAGCTGCTACAAGAGACGTTCACATTCGGATGATGTCGTTTCAAGCGCGTTAACAAGTTAGACGTGTTGCCTGCTGCCGATTCAGTCTCCGTGAAACAACGTCGACGCACAGCTTTGGATTTGCGCTCGTCTCTCCCCATCGTCTGGCTTGTTCGTTGGCTGCTAAGATAATTGCACCGTGCTGAAACACGCTTAGGAACTTTAGTTGCGCGGCGCATAATCTCTCGTTAATAAAATTTAATGAGTAAAAAAAAATAACCGGAACGGTGCACACGTGGACTGAACCGAACATGCTGTGCCGAAACGGTTCAATACGCCCACATGTACCGTTACACCACTATTGTTTAGGGTACGGATCCCCCGCGATAAAAGAGGGACTAATGTATTCTAATTTTAAATGTAATTTCTACAAAAAAAATCAGGATTTCTGTCTGAACTAATTCAATCCCAGTCCATTTCAAGATGGCCTCCCCTGTTGAATGACCTTAAATAAACAGAAATAAAAGGTTCTAACTGAGTTGCTTTCACAGACTAAGACTTGCTGTGGTATAGCTGAACCTGATCCCCAACACATATTCTGAGCCCTAACAGATTCTGCAAGGTTTTTTTTGGTGTAAACTTTATTTTTGTAAACCTTCAGGAAATCCTCATCAGATACTTTAAACACTAACTGATTGCTTTATCTTCTTCGTATCTGTCTACAGCTTTTTTTTTTGTAGCTAGATTAACTTTAATTTAAAAACAATCGACAGAATAAAAGAAAACGTTTCAGCTAATCTAATAGGCAAATTACATTTAATAAATAACATTTAAATTCTACTTAAATGTTTTTTACGACCTTTATCCCTAATCTTAATCTAATATTTTCTGGGTCTGTCTAGACATAAACTGCCTAATCTATAAATCTAGCTTCATGTTTTCCTTATTTCCATTTTATAAAGTTGGCACCCCTTCAAATCAGCTTTGTTGTTCCAGTTTGATCTGTTTTCGTTCATTCAACTAGACTGACAGTAGTAACACACACAAAGTACTTCTTTGTACAACATAATTCACTTTTGTTTCTTTTTACTTTGACAAATGCAATTAAAGAGAATCGGACCAATTCCTTTGTGCTAAACTAGAAATATGAAGCTGCAACAATAACAGTCACTTCATCATAAAAAGGGTAATTAGATTTTAACGTTTATTCAGCAAGTTATTGTTGTGAGTGTAGCTGTGCTGTTTGGTAAAAACAGTGAAGCAGTTTCAGTGATTCCTGACAAAAAACAGCTTCTCTCTGCCACCAATCAATCATGGTGCCGATTAACTAACGAGCCCCGGCGACCTATCAGGAGCCCCGGAGCTGGATGAGGTCACCATGGGAATCTGAGTCTGACAGACACGCACATTCTCACGGCTGTGATGTTTGTCAGTGGGGAGATGGCGTGTTAGCGTAAGGCTGCGGTGTAAATCTGTACCAGCTGGCAGCGAGACTGGGAACAGGATGTCTTAGACTCAAACCAACAACCAGGACAGAGAAGACACACCACAACAAATTCAAAGGGAAAATTCCATTTTCATTCTCCAAATGTTTGGTTCCTAATTCCACATGGAGGACAAAAGCACGTGGAAAATTGTGATGATTATGCGGTGGTTTACTTTGGAGGGCTTGATGTTTGTAATGTCAGGCAGATTCAGGTCCACGTTCTGGACTTTGGACCTGGCCTGGAGTTAAACGTTGAGGCTTGCATTGTTAGCGCGGGCAGGAAGTCGTCCGTCATTCTGCAGAGCTCACAACACTTCCAGGAAACAGTTTGTAGTGCGAAAACAAAGAGAAATTTTTTGCTTAATTTTGCTGCTGACAGGGTTGAGGCAGGAAACAAGAGGGTGTGTGTGTTTGGGGGGGGGGGGGGGGGGGGGGTACAGCCATGACAGGACTTTACCTTCTGAAACAAAGTACAAGAAGAAAGGGGAAGTTTGCTGTTTCCGGTTTTATTTATCCTTTTATATTTTTTGGATACGCCTGCCTCCTATCTCACTTTGCCATTGATTTAAAACTGTTTTTAAACTACCATTAGTTTTTCTTGACTAGTTTCTGACCTGCTTTTTAGCCTCTGAAATGGTGCAACTATTTTCTTTAACTTTTATTTAACTGGGCAAATCCCACTGAGATCACAGATCTGTTCTGTAAGGGAGGCCTGGGCCTGAAGGCAGCCTAACTTGCATGTTTTTGGACTGTGGGAGGAAACTGGAGTACCCGGAGGAAACCCACGCGAACACGAGGAGAACATACAAACTCCATGCAGAAAGATGCCAGGCCCAACCTGGGGATTGAACCCTGGACCTTCTTGCTGTGAGGCAACAGTGCTAACCACTGATGCGTCGTGCTGCCACAGAATAGATGTAAACAAAACTCTAGATCAATTTTCATTTACTTTAGTCGTCTTAACTTTGGTTTCTGACTTGGTTCTGAACCGCAGTAGGTTTATGGCTACGTTCATATAGTTTTAGATTGGGGTTTAAAGATGTAATCCTTAAGTCAAGTGAACAGTTTCCCAGAGTAACTAAACTGGTGAAGATTCTCAGCCATCCAGGACATGGTAAATCTTATAAAAAAAGGGTAAAATAACTAAATAACTAAAAAGAAACAAACATCTGGACTTCTATGAGAAGTGACACAAACTCAGCTACAAAATAGAAGTCCAGTTATTTGTTTTTTCAACTTTCTTAGATTTTTTTTCCACAGGAGATAAATATTATATATTAAATAGGGATGCACAATATTGGATTTTTGGCCGATATCCAATATGCCGATACGTTCAAACTTATTTGGCCGATAACCGATACCAATACCAATACCAATATTTTTTCCCCTAGACCACATGTGTCAAACTCAAGGCCCGGGGGCCAAATGTGGCCCTTGTTGATATCTTATTTGGCCCCCAAGATGTTATTTTAAATGTAAAATACTTTTATCACTTTATTTTTTTCCAGTATTCTTTGATTATGATATTAAAAGTGCAACAGAGAACATCGAATGAGACCAATCAAACTCTTGAGGAACCTGCAACCAAGAAAAGATTTTTGGTATCTAATTTGAGTTGATGTAGATTCTGAAACCGGCCCTTAGTTTGAAAAAGTTTTTAATTTTGGCCCCCTTTTGTAAGTGGGTTTGACACCCCTGCCCTAGACCTACTTACAGAGACAGATTTCTCTGCTGTGGTCTCTGTAAGTAGGTATATAT